TAGTGCCGGGGATGCCAGATATTCCAAACTACTGACACCTTAGCCCATTATGAATTTAAGAATTCATTAAAATTTCAGTTGATTTCTTTTCACCTGCTGTCAGCCACCTCTGTCTCCATACTTGCCAAAGGTGAAACAGTACATATGTCCCACTCTAAGGGGTGGTCACTCTTTGGGATTCTGTTTATCACAGTTCTCTAATAGGCTCAAGAAATGGTATGTTTTTGCTGATTATCTATATTTTTATCATTGTTAAATTATGGGTGACATGCTTTTTATATCCTAAATGGAAATGGAACTAGTGCATACTAATAATGTATATATGGATATTATTTTTGTTTTCTTTGTTACTAAATATACTTTAGGAAGAAGCAAATGGTTTTTAAAACATAATTGTCAAGAATTTATTTTTATATAATGGTTTTTAAATTTTTCCATTTAAATTTTTATTTTTCAAATTATTCTTTAATATCATATTTTATCATACAATAAAATGACTTTTTCTGTATGCACTTCTTTGTATTTTATACATGTATAGATTCATATGATCTCTACGACAGTCAGAATACAGAAGAGTTCCGTCACCTCCAGGACTTCCTGTGCTATCCTTATATAGTTACATCCTCCCTTTACCTGTAACCCTTGACAGACACCATGATCATGTCAACATCACTATACTTTTCATCATACAGTATTGTGATAAACACACCCTAGGTGACGCACCCCCTTGTATAATTCCCTCTCCTTAAGTAATAGCAGGACCTATGACCTGTTTCTAATCATTAGAATTTGGCTAAAATAATGGGATGCCACTCACTATCATAATTCATGTTATATAAGACTAATTTATGTGATATTAGATGCAGAACCAAGTAAGAATTTTCTACATTCCAGTGACTCCTAATACATAGCTATTACAAATTAATTTACTCATTCATCAGCACTCATTTATAGAGCATTTTTTTATTAAAATGAGGTAGTTGCAGTGTATCTTAATGATTAAGAACATGGACTCTAGAGTCAAATACCTGTAAAAGTTCATTAGCCTCTGTAATACCTCATCTATAAAATGGGAATATTCATAATACCCACTTAAAAAGATTTTATGAGTATCAAAGGAGATTATGTATACAGAGCACTTGGCACAATGCCTTCCACACAATACAGAGCACTTTTGGCTTCTATTGTTGTCATTATTATTCATAATATTACTGTTATGCAGAATGAATCAGTTATGGGGGCTCTCCTCCATAAAATTACCACATGGTATTAAATGAGATAATATGTCAAGTACTTATAATAGTGCCTGGCATGTAAAAAACTTTTATATTTATTAGATATTATTATAACTATAATTATTACCTGTCTTCATTATAATAATAGTAGTGTATTAGCACTTATTCTTAACTATTCTCCTCCTCCTTCTACAAAACAGTAAAATATAAAGTATTATATAAGGAATTAATTTTTTCCTTTGCATTTTGTTTTGGAAATAGTGAGGTAGTGTAGCATTTCCTGATTTATGTGGAACATAAAAATAAATAAAATAAATAGAAGACTGTATTCTTAATATAATGACCATACTTTGTGTGCATTTATTTTTTTTCAAACATGCCAAATGAAAAGACAGAATGAGAAATATTACATTATAAAATATATAATTGAATATGTCTCTTTATTTAACTAAAGCCATGTTTTCTACTGGCCTAATAATTCTCTTGAATGCATGTAGTAATAACCTGAAAGCTTTGAAAATATTAATAAGAATTATTTTTTTGTTTATAATTGTACGATGAACTCTTTTGTTCTGCTAGAAGAGAGACTGGAAAACACAGTGACTCAAGTAAGATAGAAGTTTACTTTTTCACTAAGTTAAAGTTATTGAAATGAGGTAGTGCCATTATTCAAGGGTTAAGGTACTTCCATACCTTCCTTTTTAAAAAATCCTCATCCAAGGATACGTTTTTATTGATTTTAGAGAGAGAGGAAAAACATTGATGTGAGAGGAGAACACCAATTGTTTGCCTCCTGTATGTGCCCCAATTGGAGATTGAACCCGCAACCTAGGTATATGCCGTGATTGGGAATTGAACCTTCAATTTCTTGGTGTACTGGATAATGCTCCAACCAACTGAGTCACTTGGTCAGGGTGTAAATTATATTCTTTATCTAAGTCACTTAGTCCATAATGGCTGTCTGAATTATATCATTGTCAAGTTCTAGGGGAAAAGCAAAGGAAAGAGGGAAAGTAGAAAAAGCTACAAGGTGGCTGTCCAACCCCTTCTTAGATACCTTCTCTAAATCTTCACACCTATTTTTCTTACAGTCTTTGGTAAGAAATTCCATTACATGGCCATAGCTTACAGTAGGGGAGTCTGGGGAAAATAACATTTTAAGATTTTACATAGTCAACCTGAGTGCAGCTGTAGTTCTTGTAATGAAGAAGAATGCAAAGAGTAGATTTAGGGTCAGAAACTAAAAGTTTCTACTCTCCTAGTCATTATAAATATGTACATGGTGATGAAAAGCATTAATTATGTAACAGAAGTCTATAAAAGATGGAAAGGGGAAAGTTCCTGTAGAGAGAATGCTATGTGTTCACAAAACCCTGCTTCATTCTCCTCTTGAGTCACAGGAAAACTACCTTCCCCAGCCTCTATGGCAGTTTTAGCTAGTTGACTGTGCCCAGCAGTAAAATTTTCCATTCCTGGCCCCTAAATGGTTCCACTGGATTCTCCAACACCCCTCTTTATAAGATTGCTAGCCAGGTACAAAGAATGCAATGGAGGACTTCCAGGCCAAAGAAGATGGTAGAGCTGTAGAATTGAAGAAGTTTGAGTCTCTTAATGACTGTTTGGAACAGAGAGTCTTTGCCTTCTCTGACCACTTGATGAAGTACATTGAACTTTGACATCAGCAAAACAATCTTTTATGGTTGAACCTCTGAGATTTATTGGTTATTTATTGCATAAAACATCGCATATAATTACTAGAGCCCTTACTAATACACCAGCCTAGAGATGATCTTCTTTATTTATTGGTATTTATTATTCCAATATTAATGCTTATATAAAGACTAAAGGCCTGGTGCATAAAATTCATGCACAGGGGGAGGAGTGTGTGTCCCTTAGCCCAGCCTGCACCTTTTCAATCTGGGACTCTCAGGTCTAAACGGGCAGTCAGACATTCCTCTCACAATCTGGGACGCCTGGTCCCTCACAACTGCCCTCCCCTGCTGGCCTGATGGCCCACAACTGCCCTCCCCTGCTGGCCATCTTGTGGTGGCCATCTTGTGTCCACATGTGAGTGGCCATCTTTGATCACATGGGGCAGCCATCTTGTGTGTTGGAGTGATGGTCAATTTGCATATTACTCTTTATTATATAGGATAGATATTTTACTCTATATATTTATATATGTATATATTATATATATTATATAATACACAGGTACTGCATCCCCAAATATTTTCAATACCAAAATTAGCACTAATGGTATTTAAAATTGGCTTTCTAAGTTAAATCAGAAATCTAAGTTTAAATTTAACACGGTAGAATTTTAATGAACAAAATTTGCAAAATTTATTTTAAAAATACATATAAACAAAGGTGTGTAAATTTTTAAAAATTAATTTCCTACATTGAATTGTCTGAGTGTAAAATGACAACAAAACATAAGAAGAAGGAATTACTAATTTTTAAAAAAATATATTTTATTGATTTTTTACAGAGAGGAAGGGAGAGGGATAGAGAGTCAGAAACATCGATGAGAGAGAAACATTGATCAGTTGCCTCC